TGGGGGGGCAGAGGGGTGAGTGGATGGACAAGAGGGTGGATAGATGGGTGGATGGACAGATGGGTGGACGGAGGGGTGAGTGGATGGACAGGAGGGTGGATAGATGGGTGGATGGACGGATGGATGGAAGGAGGGATGAGTGGATGGGTGGATGAAAGGGTGAGTGGATGGCTGGGCAGGGGGGTGGATGGATAGGTGGATGGGCGGATAGTTCCCCAGCACAGCTAACTGAATCAAAGGAGAATTCCACGCAGGCAGATAGAGACAGTCATTTCCCTCTGAATGAATTACTTGAAGAAACATCTTCCCACTGGCCTGGGGCTGGCGGCAGTTTCAGCCTGGAGATTGCCGGTGAGCAGGGAGGAAAGGAGAACGGGGCCGTGGCTTACCTCCTGCCAGAGAGCATGGTGGGCCTCCACATCATCAGGAAGGTGCTGGAACTTGTCTGGAAACAACTCTGACAAAAGGATGATGTCCTCCCAGCCCTGGTCAGGCAGCCACGTGCAGGGCTTCTTCCGCTTGCTCTTCTCCAGGGAAATGTTTCCTGGTCACAGAGGAGAGACATGAGTAGATGGGCCGGGAGTCCAGTCCTCCGGCTCTTCTTCAGGGAGACATCCCCGACCCCGTGAGGAGACTAGAGATAGGACAAGGTACAGGCTTGCCCTTGTCACCACCGGGGACCCGGCCAGGCAGCTCAACGTGGCTTCCAGCCTCAGGGCAAGCCATAGACAAAGGCTGGATCCTCTGAGTCATGCCAGACCCTTCCTGAGGCCAGACCTGTCTCTGAAACGTGCACGGAGCAGCACCATCGGAAGGCGAGTTGCTGCTGCTGCTGGTTTTAATGAACCAATTGTATGAGGGACTTTGAAACATTTGTGGGAAAGCATGAGTTTGTTTTGGTGTAACAATATTTGAAATCCATGCCTGATTTTTTCATAATACATATTTTCCCTGAACTGTTCAAAGACCCTGCCTATGCGTGTACCATGTGGGCCCAGGAAGTTGGGAAGACCAAAGCGAGGCGATTCCATTACCTTTTAAGAAGAAGTCCAGCTCCTCCTGAGGGCTCCTCCCTTCTGCTTGCTCTATCTTGATGGTCATGTTAAAGGAGAAGAGCAGCTTGTGCCTCTCGAACAGCCCTGCACAGAACATCAGGCAGGTCCTGATGGAGGACCATCGCTCTGGGGCCGGCAGGCGGTGTAGCACTTCAGGGGCTGGACTCCCACACGGCCGACCACAGCGCAGGCCGTGGGCCCAGAGCCTGAAAATCACTCCAGGCGTGTGTGCGCTCGCCCAGAATCCCAGGGGGATAGAGGAGAAGGGATTGTGGCATGGTCATCCCCACTGGGGGGTGATTTCTCACTTTCCCTTTCTCTGTCTTTGTTTCTCTCCAGCAAATGTATGTGCCCTATGGCAAAATAACTTAAAAAAAAAAAGTCTAGTGGTATTAAAAACTAAGTGGACCAATAGGAGGCACAGTGGCTGTGCTGCTGGACCACCACATGGCCAGCCAGTTTGAGTCCCAGATCCAGTGGCCTCAAACTCATGCCAGGCACGTGTGCATGCGTGCCCCAAATCCTGAGGCGAATGGAGGAGAATGGGGGAGAAAGGACTGCAGCTTGGTCATCCCCCCTGGGGGGAGTGATTTCTCACTTTCTGACTCTCTGTC